TGTTTTAAAATTATAAATAAATAAAAAAGTACATATGCTTTGTATGAGATCATGAGGATTGGTGAATTTTTTTTCACTATATATATTAATTTTTTTGAATTTAAATATACATTTTTATTATGAAAAATAATTATTTTATTTTAAACATATTAATTTATTTATGACTAATTAAACCACATTTATATTAATTCTAACCATTGTTCAAGCAAATCTTGTTATCATTGGAATTTAAATGATGTGCTTTATCTTTTGTTATCTTTAATGGCATTTTGATCTTTTAATTGAAAAAATGATGTTCTTTATTTTTAAAATTTAAGTTGAACTGATTTGAATATGAGATCCAAAATGTTCCCTCCGTTTTGCTTTATAGAACATTTTTTGGAATATTTCACAGGTTACAGTATAACATAGACGGAAAAGTGATTTGCTAAGGATAGTTTTCCAAAATATTGGTGCTAAATGAATATGAATAGTATTTTTAATATTTTATTTTATTTATTAAACACAAGTGTATTTTTATCAAGAGTTTGCACCATATACTGCTAGATACTAGTCCTTCGATTTTTAATATAAGACCTGTTTAACTAATTTGATTATATGAAGAAAGTTAAGTAAATTAGTTAATTATAAGAAATATGACATGTTTTTTCTGAAACACCATAATCATGTTCCTTAATATCTTCTATCTCTCTTCTACTTGATTATGATTGAGAAAGTATCCATTAGAGTAATTTAGAAAAAATTGATAAATATAAAAAATAAATCTTATATTTAAGATTAAAATTAACTCAATAATTATGTTTTATATTAAGAATAGGAGAAGTGCTAAATATGAGCATTTTTTTGAAGAATTAATAACATCTTTTGCTTTGAGGACATCTGATGTAATTTCTAATTTGTAGTACAATGCGTCATAAACAGGTAAACTATATTTTATATTTAAAATAATTTTTTTATATTTTCTCAAGTTTATCCAAAATCCTGAAAGAGGATGAGATATCACAAAACATAGAAAAACAAGTGCATTAATGAGGGCGCACCACCTGGTAGATTTTTTTGGGTCCTTTTGGTGGTGGGACCCACGCACCAGCCTCTGCTATATAAATAAATGTTGGGTTCGGTCCTATGATTCCTTATCATGTGAGACTGTAACTGCTTGCTTGCTCCCTCCTCCTGTCCTGGATTTGGCTCTCTGCGACATCTCCTTCGTCACTTCATCCTCCATGGCTTCTCACTCTCAGGCCTCCGATGGCAAGCTGGTGGTTTCAACCTCCCCGACGAGCGACAACGGCGCCGGAAAAGGCCACTGCTTGTGTTCTCCCACCACCCACGAAGGCTCCTTCCGATGTCGTCTTCATCGCTCATCCTCTTCTTCCTCCTCCTCATCAAACCCTTGGATCAAACGCTCTAATTCCATGCCTGGTCACAACAAGCATTCCCTTTCTGTTTCTCCTCCATCTTCTGCTACTTAAATAATCTTCTTCTTCTTCTTCTTGTGCTCTTTTGATTCTTCACGATGCTTCTGTTATTATTATTGTGGTAGAAAGCTCTGGGATTATTCTCGCCTTGTGATCTCTTCACTAAGAACTTCTGTATCCGTCTGTTATGTAAATCTGTGTTCTGTGTTCTGATCGAGTTCTCTCATGAATGATCTACGTACCTACCTGGTTTTGTTCTTACCATAACTTGTTTCTTTAATTTCTTTTTTGTTTCTGTGATGATGCTGATAGATCTGGCTCACGCGTCCACATGATTTTGATTCTTGATCGGAATAGATCTTTGTTAATTAGTGGAATTGCGTAGAATAATGAAAATGGATTGGGGAATTTCTATTATTTTAGCCAAAATCTCATCCACAGTGCAAGAAAATGACAACAACAGAGGGTGGCCGACCTTGAGAATGACATGGCAATTCCATAATTATTGTATCCTTATCTTTTACACACTCATATATATAAATATATGTATATGTCGCTGTCTTCTTCCTGTTTCAATTATGTTCTTCCTTTTCAAAGAGTAAAGAAACAAGATAATTTCCAAAGGGATAATCATGGATGAGAAATGGGTCTTATCCCACCTGCCCTATTGAAAAGATGGAATATGTTGATCACTATCATTTCATATTTAATTATATATATATATATATATATATATATATATTGCTTGCAATGAAATGAACCATACGAGGATGCACCTTATCTGTACTCAATACTATATTGCTAGTTGTTCCTACTGTTGAATCATCAGTTATGTTCACCCAACGTTTTTTTTTTTAATTATTGTTAGTTTAAACAGTAATAATACTTCTTCTATTCTTAAATATAATAATTAGATAATTAATTTATAAAGACTTAAAAAATAAGTTAAGTTAAATATTTATAAAGGCATGTGTTGGTTTTCTAAAATACTCCTTTATTTACGTTAACACTAGCTATTCTCAATTTCTCATCAATAAAGATGTTTAATACTCAATTTATATGTAATTAATTAGAGTAGTTTAGGAAGAAAATATAAATTTAAGAAATAGAGTTTGTTTTCCCCCGATATACCATTATTCGAAACCAGAAGGATGCTAATTTATTAACCTCTCTTGATATAATCACTTTGAACATTTCAATTTTTTCAACGTAGACTTTCGCCTTCTCATTGAAAAGGACAGCTGGTTGCAATTTGTTGAATTAATTGAGATCGTAACATGATAAGCCCAAAACAAATAACAAGCTGAAGCGGAGAAAATACTTCAATTTCAATCTTGACTTTTGAATTTTTAATCATATGGAAGATTTCTTTTCTTTTTTTTTTTAATGTTTTAGGCGTAGGCCATTAAGGTAAAAGCTCTAGTCCCAAAAACATAACTTTTATGTTCCTTTTAATTAAAATTTAATTTTAGAGATATATAAGATTATGCATTTTGTTAAAAGAACTTAGAATAAATATTTGTATACACATTATCCTGTCAATCTACTCGTTTTTTTATTCAATCGAAAGTTGACTTCAAGCGTTTTTAGAATGTGAGAACTTTCCTGGTCAACAAAAAAGAAGAAGAAAGAATGTGAGAACTTTTGATAATAATAATTTACAGAAAATTTAAAAATATGTGGGAAAATATGTTATCATCATAAAAAATTTTAAAATTCTAATGAACATACTTATATTGATTGTTTTGATTTATTTTTAAAATTAAAGGTGTTGACAAAAGTGTGAAAAAAATATTAATACTCCTACAAAACTGTGTGATTATATCAAAATATTATATACTTTTCTAAAACAATGGTGGCTATTATACAAAAAGACATAATTACCTTCACAGAACAATAATACATAATTACTATCACAAAAATAGAAGACTGTTCAAATGCACGAAAATAGAAGCTCAACCAATGCAAGATTCTGACGCCACAAACTCCGCCAAATGCGCTGTGTCAAAAATTTGTTCCGGCGGAATGTCTTCCGCAAAATATTTATTACTCTTCTAATTCTAAATATAAAATCTATTTAACTAATTTAATTACATTAAAAAATTAAATAAATTATTTAATTAAAAAAATATTACATATTTTTTTAAAAACATTATAATTATCTTTTCTAATATTTTTTCTTTCTCTTTTATTTGATTATGATTTAAGAAGTATTAATATGATTAATTTGAAAAAAATTAACAAATATAAAAAATAAATCTTATATTTAAGGCTAAGATCAAATCAAAACTTAAATCCTATACTAAATATAAAAGTTAGATAATCAACTTATAAATATTTAAAAAAATAGTTAAATTAATTATTTACAGTAAATGTATATATATTTTCTCTATGATACCCTTTTTTATCATTACTCCATAAATAAGAACTCCTTTTTACATATACAATCAATAAAAATAATTTTTAAAAAAATTATAAATTTGAGAGGCAAATTGAATGAAGCTTTTATACTTAAATCAAAATAAACATTCAAACTAGTTTTTATATTTAAAACCAAAGTAAGTAGTAAATTTCATTCAAAATTGACAGTTTTCAGTTTTAGCACTACATACTGAGAAGCCGAGTTAAACTCCTTCAACATCACAAAACTTTGAACTAAATTCCATCAAACTTGTGTTCTTCACTATTAGAGAACTCTGCGTTTTAAAAGTAGACGACGAAAGCATCATAAAAGAATTCAACAGATTCTCATGGCCATGGGAACAAGTACATCCAACTAATTCATGCTGTTGAAAAATTATAACGCACAGCATGATAACTTCCTTCAATTCATCCTGGATCCTGCATACAGAAAGTAGACCTTATGGATAAAGAAAACAATAATAGATATAATTGTGGGGGAAAAAGTCTCAGATGAAATGTCAACTCCGTATTTTTGTTTTCCATCCCCACTACAGCACAAGCCTAAACAAAGAAGCCGCCTGAGATTTGATTTTATCATTAACCATACATTTTCATGTAACATCTGGTGCTACAGCATAATTAGGGAGGTCTCCAATTCCATGTCTTTCAAAGAAAGAAACATAAGGTTACAAATATTTCTAAATTGTTATTTCCCCCATCTTTGTCAGCTCCAATGACCAGTTAGCACAGATACGTTCGAAAGTCCCTCGGAGGACACATACAATCCAACCATACAAAACTTGAAACCACTTTTGAGCACAACTAATGCAAGGCATGAAAGAAGGAGACGTTAAAACAGAAACAATCTTCTGAGACATACATTCAAATTTTGGAATCTGAGGGGAAAATAGAAGTCCGATATAATAGTGAAAACGTCATTACCTCAGATAATTGCAAAAAGAAAAAGCTCTTGTAGAAATTTCAGATTCAGACAGTTGATGAAACAATTAGTGTTTACCTCCAATTTAGTTTTAGCTTCTTCATTAAATGTTTTGCAAAGAATTTCGTAACTACTCTCCTTCCCTATCTGCACAAGGTACACATGCTGCAACTCATTAGAGTAGAAAATAGGGGATATCACTAGCATTATGCAATGAAAACAGCAATATACCATTGGGTTAACCTTTGATGGAGACATAGTTGATATGTTATATCTGCAGTGTATAGATGACAATTTGATCAATTAAACAAAAGACAAATGTAACATAGAGAAGAACTGGGAATTATAGACGAAAAATATAGTTAGAAAAAGTTAGGATTCACCTAGGTATTCTAACAGCAAATTCCAGCTAAAAATGATATGGACTAGCATAGTTTCATGGATGGGATCGTTCTAAATGATATCATTAAAAGTAGACGTCACCTAACACAAAAAAATCAAGCACAACAAAGAAAGGCTCGTGATAATCATATTGTGGATAAGATCCCCGCATATAGCTATCAGGTCTACATAGAACACAGTTATTTCTGAACCTGTGATTTGAATATGTCAGCTACAATCTTTGAATACATATCAATCTTTCAGGTTATCACCAATTTTTCCCCTTAAAACTAGTCCATACATTATTTGTCAATGCTTTTCATCAAGATTCAAACGTTTAATTTATCCTAAGAATGGCACACCGCCATGAAATTAAGCAATAAACCGATATGCCCAACTCAATACTTTGGCCAAAAAAAAAAGAGCAACCAGTATGACAAACTATTTTAAATGGAATGTCTTCCTCTTGAAATATACATGTAGCGAACAAGAACAACTGGTGGCATGCAAAAAGAATCCTTCTTTTCCTTCCATCCTTTTCAAATTTGCTAAGCAAGGATTTCAGAAAGGAATATAATTTGGCCGCATACATAAGTTGTACCTCATCTTATTTATATAGAAATTCATAGCAAACAAGTTCTTTTTCTGAACGGTTAGCATGACAGCACCCATGCAGTTCTGCAATAAATGAAGAGAGCAGATCAGGGATTGCAGTTCTGATATAACCTTGATCATCAAAATCTCATAAGACCAGGAAAATGCCTGCATATTGATGTGGAGCCGTAAAATCCCAAGATATAAATGCAAGCATTGAATATATAAGATCCAAATCCCACCATTAAGATATGCGTAATATATTCTTTGATTTTTGCATCAATATTGAATTTTGACCATTTACTTTTAATCCAATGATTATTAGTTCCTCCTCTAATCTTTCACCAAAGAAAACTCCTCTGACTCTGTGCATGTGTGTCCATAGAGAGAGAGATAGAGAGAGAGAGAGAGAGAGCTCACTTATAATATTTTGAAATTTAACAGCCCATCACTTCCATGCTTACTAGTTTTGTCCTTAGCAGCACAGAAAAACTTCAAGGTTTTAATCAAAATCAGTTAAGCGTGAAAAAAGAATCAGCACCTTCTGGGCTATAAGCTCGATTAGTTGCATTAAAAACTTTCCCAGTCCTTTCCCCTGGATGCGAGGCTCAAGCTGCAGTTCATACACATAGAGCACTGGTATGTCTTCTTCCACAATAAATCTGTATTGTACAAATCCAACGAGGGGGCCACTATTTTCTAAGCTAGCTGAAGTTTTTTCCCCAATTAACATCGCTGTCCTCTCATTAAAATTTGTGTTGGTAACCTCATGCACAAATATGTAACGTGCTTCCGGAGCAACCGTTTCTCTGCGCTTCACCTTTTCTTCCACTAGCCACTCAGAGCCATAATGTCCTTCCATGTTTTGCTGTAGTCAAGGGAAAGACAAATCAGGTGCATTTTCCATTTATAATGAAGAAGCTAAGTGCAACATTGGAGTAGACACTAAAAAGAAAACAGAGACAGTGCTATGAACAGGAGAAAAATGACATGTTTCCAAAATTATTGTAGAAGTTTCAACAAATTGGAAAACAGCGAGGGGATTATAGACAACTACTTCTACCTTGAGAAGATTTTGAACGTAGTTCTTAACAGTAATGGACAATTTATCGCCACGCCCAGATTCCAAATACACGGAGAGACCTAAAAGTAATATTTGATGTGGAGGGCGCCAAGAAGCACAAAAATGATCAATCAAAATGTGAAACTTGCCAGGAGATGAGGAAGTGAAAATGTGATAGAATCCACAAGCATTTCATGGAAATTTTAGCACAGAAAAATAGACAGCAATGGAAAAATCACAATAATTTATAATTCACAAAGAACCACAAATTAACTCCGAAACAGAAAAATACAACAAAGAAACATAGACAACAGCTGCACGGAATGAGAGACAAAAACAGATACAACAGATCCCAGACTAGCATTTGAGAGGTTGGCACTCTCCCCAGACCTCTTTTTGTAATTTTTCCATACTTCCCCCAGTTACTTCGACAAAAATTGTAAACACTGGGGAGATTTTATACTAGAAAAGGAATGCGTCCCAGAGGATGGCACAATGGGGCCTCACATATGCTGAAGAAAGATGAAGCAAGCCTGAAGAGGAAAAGAGGGTGAGCGGGCAGAAACATGTAACTCGCTTTTGCAGTTGCGTGCACAAGAGAGAGGGGGCACTAAGAGGGGGTATGGAGTTTCTAGTTTCAGATGAGAGTATCCTAGTCTCTCAAATGCCAAGAGGATGGAATGCTATGCACCGTTTTGATTCTTCTATTCTGCTTTCTATTTCTAGTACTAGATGCTTAGATAGAGGGTACTCTCAAATCAACGAAACAGTGGTCCATCACATGGGCCAAGGTCTGGAGTTGCCACATAAATAATAGTAAAATTCAAGTTCCATCACACCTGCTCTTTTTCTATACCCTCTAACTGCCATTTCTCCTGTAACTTCCAGTTTACCCCCTAAACCAATCCCACTTTAAAAAGTGATTATTCTGAATTTCACTTGCTTCTCACTTCATCTAAATTCCATCGACTCCAAATTCTTATATCAAACAAAATGCAGTGTAATGTGTAGCAGAAATTTACTTAACAAACATTTTTACTAGCCAAAAATTTATTTAAGAAACATTGAAACCACCTGGCTACAAAAGAACTTTGACCATATATAATTTCCCTTGCAAATTTACAGTCCAAAGGAGTGGCCTTATAATTTAGGAATGAACAGTAAACCAAATACAGAATGAGTAGTACTTCTGAAATTCGAGCAATAGTTTTGTTCCATAGTTGGAAGTTTTATTGAACCAGAATTTCATATGTTACAGTTGTCCCTTTTTATATAATGACCGATCTACTTTGATACAAATAAGTTTCACCATAGATTAATATGAAGAAAAATATCCATCTAATCACACCACCAAATTGTAGGCTTATTGATATTACTACCATGAAGAATCACTATTTTACGATATGGGCAGTAAATTATATTCCGATATTCTTACCGTTTTTATCATAATGGCAGAATGAGGGGAAAAAAGCAATATGGTCTTTCACAAAATATGCTGCTTTTATGAGTTCTTGAATGGCTTTCTTCTTGGCAAGAATCTACAAAATGAACCGTAACATTTCAGAAACCTCACAAATATGAAATGGATTAAAGATGAATGATGGGTTTACCTCTCTGCGACTAACCATCTTTAACTGGCTGACACTGTCGTTGCTGGTGTTCCTAGAACAACTTCCATGGAATCTCTCTGACTCCATACTGGCTTAGCACTGAATGGCCAAATCTTACTTAATCAACACCCATCTGCTCGTTCCTTCTGATTAGGACCAACAACCACTAGATTGAATTCACATGGACGTAACCTAAAGGAACTGACAAAAAGAAGCATTGTTGCCAAAGAAGATACTTTTCCTTATGATTATACTGTACACATTTACAGAGGAATAACAACTAGTCTGAAGTCTCAATTAACTAACATTACTAGCTAAAAAACTGTAGCATATACATACATCAATTAGCTGAGCAGAGGACCAAATAGGTAAGAGATGAATGGCTTTAGCTTGCAGCTTTTTGTAAACCATGTAACAGTCAATCTCAATTTGTTTTGTCATCTAAATAGTACCATCAGCTTTGTACTCAATTTTATCAACCCATTTGCAGCCAATGGGTTGCTTACAAGGCAGAAGAGACATAAGACCAGATTTAATTCAGCTCAAGTGCTTTAATTTGAGCAACCATAGCATTTATCCATTCGTCATGCTTGACTGCTTAATTATAGGTTTCAGGTTCCTGGGGAGTCAAAATGGATAAGGTGAAGTCTTTGTAAGAAGAGGAAAAATTAGTGCAAGAAAAACAGACAAAATAGGATAGAGATGACCTCTTCCAGTGGAAAATGGTCCTGCTACGGCCTGAAGTGAGTAATGATAGTTCTGCGGATACAATGATGTGCTGTGTGTGTCTGTGTGGATTTTTGGATTGGAGGTGGTGAAACATAAACAATAGGAGATTCGGGCTGAGGTTCTGTTATTGCAGGAGAAATGAGGGGGGGGGGGGATCAGGAAAGTCCAAAAAGTTTTAGCTCTGCAGTAGAGGAGTTGTAGAATGCCCACAAGAAAAGGGTATCAAAAGGAAAATTATGTTCATAGAATATGATATGTCTGGAAATGAATGATTTTGTTAAGAATATCAAGAAGTGTGGAACCTTTTTGGCGAGTTGTAGGACCCAAACAGACACACTTTCAAGCCCGAGAACCATACTTGGATCGATTTTCAGATGAAGCAGAAGCAATACACGCAAAACCAAAGACTTTAAGATGGTCTAATGTCAATGATTTCTAATTCAATAGCTCAAAAGGGGCAGAATTTTGTACTAGTGTAGAGGGCAATCAGTTGATAAGGTAGACTACATGAGAAATAGAATAGCGGTTTTAGGGAGTGAGATTAAAGCAACGCTCGAGAAACATTTAATATCTGTTGACGTTCTCGTTCCCCAATGCCATTTTGTAGGGGAGTTTCAATGCAAGAAGTTCAGTGTAAAGTATCTCCAGATTCATAAAAGAACATGATGAGTAATTTAGGGCCATTATCCAAATGAATAACTTGTGTTTTCGTGCTGTATTGAGTTTCACAAAGAGATAAAAGACTGTAACTGATGTCTGGTTTCTTATTCATTATTCATGAGATCCATCCATGAATACCTAGGGAAGTCATCAACAATGGCAAGAAAATAAAGCTGTGAACAGCAGGAATAGCAAGTGGTCCTCATATAACAACATAAATAAGGCCAAAAATTATTTCTTCGAGTGTGCTAACAAGGAAAAGTCAATTTCCTCGTAGCAAAGATGCCAGAACAAGGATGTTAACGAAGTAACTATATAATCTCGTTACCGACATTAAGCCGAGATCGACGAGAGGATCGACTGCTTCTCGAACCCCTTGCGATTCGCTCTCAGACTACTCTCCCTTTCGCGACGAAGACTCCAGCTCCGGCAAATGAGCTCAACCACAGGATCGCTCCTGGTCCTACTAATTTTCAAACAGCAGAAGTAATTTTGAAGATACGGACCAAAAAAAAAAAAAAGGCACCCGCGGACACACTTCTTTCAACTACCAGTGGCTGGTCCCACCCAGTGTTGCTTTTTCTCGATGAAATATTTTCACGGTGAAGTATTATCTTCATGCAAACTGAATGTAAAATATTAGGACAAATTTTGTTATGTGGCTTTTTTTTTTTTTATAATAAGATGCTTTTGCGGTACATATAGGATTTAATTCAGAAGTTGATATTGATTATATATATAACTTATTTTATTTGTTTATTAATTTTTTTCTTAAATTTATCCTGTTAATTTTTTTACAAGATACTCCTTTGGTTATTAATTTAGAGTGTTTTAGAAAAAAAATCATATTAACTAATTTAACTAATATCTTTAATATACTCATATTAAGTACTAGAGGAATACATTTTAGTTTTGTGTAAACATTTAATGAGTTTTATTTAATATTTCCTGATACATTTTTTAATTCATTTATTGTATTTTTACTTATTTTCTTCATTAATACAGATATATTGGGAAAAAAATACATGTCTTATATTTTTATTATTTTAAACTGATTTGTTGATAAACATAAATCGATTAAACTTATCTTATATTTTAAATTAGAGAGAGTACTTGTTACTTAATATAAAATATAGTTAATTAATTTAGATATATTAAATAATTTAAATAAATAATTGACAAAAAATTAACTAAATTAGTTTAAAATTTAGAAAAAATAATTAAAAAAACGTCGAAATAGAAAAATTATAAATAAGAACTCATGATAATATTAGTATGGGTTTTGACAACAATAGTATGTGTTTTGACAATAATTTTTATAAACTGGTCTCTCTCTGCAATTTTGTTATTTCGGTGATATTTTTTTGCCGCTTTTCTTAAAATTTATTATCCCGCTCATGCATATTAAAATTAAAATGAAAAAACTTGCTTGTAACTATAATTGGAAATACGAGCCAGCCCGCGAATTGCGGGCTTGCTGGCCACAACCTGCGGGTTATGCGGTGCGGCTGGAAAAGTCCCAACCCTAACCCGCCACAGCGGGTTGGCGGGCCAGCCCGCCATTTTTTTTTTTTTTTTAATTCTCAATTTTTAAATCTTATTTTTATTTAAATTTTTAAACTAATAAACGGTGATACAAAATTTCAAAAGTAATCACAAGTATAAATTATATTTAACCACATTTAAAATAGTCAATATAAATATAAAACAATATATTACAAATATTTTACATGACTAACATTCAACATTAACTTATCAATTAATAAATTTTATAATTTTTTTTATACAAATGTCATGTTTGATACAAAACACTATCTCTTAATAAATTAGAAGTGTATTTATCTAACTTTTTTTAAAGTTCATTCATCATATTTTTCTAAAATACTTTTTTTTGTAATAAATATTATCTTGTATTTGATTGTAGTTATTAAATTTTTGCTACAAATATGGTATGCTTATTTTTAAAAAATGTTTGTTGTTTACATATGTATTATGTAACATGAAAATTGAGATATAAATGAGAGAAGAAAAATTTCAAATATAATAATATATTATTTATGTGAAAAATTTAATTAAAAAAAGTAGCGGGTTAGGCGAACCAACCAGCCAACCCGCAAGCTAGCCCGCCACAGCCCGCGGGTTATACGGTGCGGGTTAAAGCAGCTCGCATTTTTGGCGGGTTGGTAAAATGTCAACCCTAACCCGTTCTTTTATGGCGGGCTGGCCTACTGGCCCCAACTTATATTTCCGACTCTACTTGTAATGATTTTTTAGTCATTTTTCTTACTTTATTGACTTTTTAAAAAAAGAAATATGAACACCGCTGAACAAGACGGAGTAAAAAAGTAAAATGCCAACTCACCAAGTCACCATCGTAGAAAATCAGTAATATACGTCCAGGAAAATAGAGTCCAAGGCAGGCAGAGGTAAAAGGCTGCCGAATGAGACAGAGACTGAGTGGACGGACAAAAACTGAAAAACATGACCGGGAAGGACGAGTTCGTTCGGTATTCGCCCCTCCCCGCGAACCCTAGCCCTGATCCTGACCCGCCGAGTCAAAACGTCATCGTAATCCTCCCCGCCTACCGTCCTCCCTACAGCCGTCGCCGCCGTCGCTATGTCTACTGCTCCGGCGCACTCTTCCTCATCTTTCTGCTAGCCGCCGCTACTTTCTTCCTTTACCCGTCGGATCCCGATATTCGGGTTGCCCGATTGCATCTCAATCACATTGGGATCAAGACCTCCCCAAAACTCGTCCTTGACGTTTCGTTCTTCCTCACTGTTAAGGTCCGGAATAGAAATTTCTTCTCCCTTTCTTATGATTCCATTAACGTGTCGGTGGGTTACCGAGGGAGAGAGCTCGGGAGTGTGACTTCCAACGGTGGTCGACTCAGAGCGAGGGGTTCGTCCTACATGAACGCCACGCTTGATCTCAATGGATTTCAGGTCATCCATGACGTCTTTTACTTGCTTGAAGATTTGGCTAAGGGTGTCATTCCCTTCGATGCTGAAACGCGAGTCAAAGGAAATCTGGGGCTGCTCTTCTTTAACTTTCCATTGAAGGTAGTCTAAGAAAATTATCTATTCTTTCATTTGTTGCTCATTCTTTTCACCTATTTTGGTTGTGGTTTTGGCATTGACTTGATGGGTCGCTTATTTTTGGGTATGAAAATTTTGAGTGTTGGCTTGTTCGTCAGCGACACAAATCTTTTGTCTTTATAATTGCACCAGGAGTGGGGCTTTTCTTGTTTGAAGGCAGAGCAGTTTAGTTTAGGATTGTTTCTTGCTCTATTTACACGGAGTGTGATTTTTCTTGCTAACAAACCTGATTTAACGAAACGGGTTCAGCTTGGGGTATCATAGAAACCATAAAGTTTAGAATTGATTAGTTATGTTGGAATATTTTGATGGAACAATCTGTTTGAGAACAATAAGATAACTGATAAAGTAACTAGTACAGAGGCTACCATACCAATTCCAAGAGTAAGGTGATGGGAATTCTTGTGTCATAATAATCAACTTTATTCAAATCCATCAGAATAACTTGTGTGCCAAGTGTTATCTAAGTTAATTCAATATAATCAGCTACCAAGGTTGTAAGATAAAATATGGCAATTTCAGTTTGTAACCACAACTTTTAACCGATTGTTTCTGCTGCAAATTACTTTGAATTTTTATCTACTTATATTCTAGACATGCTGATCCTAAAGTGGTTAGTTTGGAGCTGAATCTTGCTGAGTAAAATGCTTACATATTTTACCATGTAGTACGTGCATGCTAAGAGTCTGCATAGTCACAGTGATGTCCTGCTGAAGGATGCTTCTGAATGTTATCTGTTAGCGCACTTCTTGTCTGGTTGTTTTCATGATTTTAATTGGACATGATTAACATGTGCATGTTATTCACTTATTTGCTGGCATCTATCTAAAACATTGTATTTTCAACTCAGGCTACAGTATCATGTCTAGTGTATGTGAATACAAATAACCAGACAGTTATGCGGCAAGACTGCTACCCTGAGGTTAAGAGTTTTATTTATTCCCTTCTTCCATCGTTTGTTGCATCTTTTTATATATTTTTGACCAATGAGCAAGGATGCCTTTTATTTTCCAATAGGATTAAATTATCCATTTCTAATTGCTACTGGCATTTGCATGTATGTTTGTTTTCAATTCATTCATGGGCAAATAATTTCTTAAATACTTTGTGTTAGGATTTCATACCACATGCTCTATTTAACTCTTGCAGCTCTTAGCGCCTAACGAAATCTATTCCATTCTGTCACATTCTCATATCTAACAAACACTCCTTTTCCATTACTGTCCTAATTTTTTAACTAAGTCATCCCATTATTGTGGATAGCGTGTAACTGCATAAATCTTTCAGAGGCCTTTTATTTGTTTGAAATTTGAAATTGCAAGCTTATTGGCCGCTTTGTAACTTATAAAGGAGGAGATAGGGAATCAACATAAATCAGTATGAAGATATAAAATTTTTAATATATTGCATTATTCACAGACCATGAACAATTAGGAAATTCTAACAATGTAGATAGCAATTGGACGTCTTCAGGGAGCATGCCTTGTTCATAGATAGCTTTGTGGAATAAATGTTATGCCTAGCTTATTTGTTTACTAACCTAATGAAAAATGCATGAGAAACCACTCAAGTACTACTTCAACTTGCACGTATTGCCGTTAAAGATATCTACCCATTTTATTCTTTCTTCATGCTTATGTGGGAGGCCCATGGAATCTATTTCTGACAGTGCCAGAACTACAGAAGCCTTCACTTTGTACTCTCTTTCTGTGTCTCCGGTCTTTCTATGCTGATGAGTTGAAGAAAACATGCTAATTCACCTGTTTTTCATCTGCTTCAGTCATTGGGTTGAAAATAAAGGACTCACACTATGGCCTGATAATAGTACGTTGGAGCTGAGTCGGTGGAGGTGGAGGCGGAGATGTTTGTTCATTGCCAAATTTATTGCATCCTTCACGCAGTGGTGTAAATTGACTATATTGCTTATTGTGCTGTACATGAAATATGAGTCAGACCCCTGTAAATAATTACGTGTGGATCCAATTTACTTGACCAAGAATTTTCCACTTCTCTTATACAAAGCTCTATTGCGGCACTAAGGGCATTAAACCTAAGAATTATGGATGTCGCACACCTGGGTGTCTGTATGTTCTGTGGGTGATCAAGAGAAACCAGTCTCCTCCGTTGAAAAGCCAAGCTGTAATCGAGCTAAAAAATGAAGTTTATAGCAGTAAGCTGTGAGAAAGCCTTAAGTATGTTGAATCCAGTGGTTGGTGATGAGTTCATTAGTTTCTTTGAATTGAAATCTAGATCTGAGTATATCTGTACTTATAAACAGAAATTGAAACTAGAACTCCTCAAATTTCTCACGCTAGTTTTATTTTGCAATGAGGCTCCCGGGTATAACAGGATCAGGCTGGGTTTAAATGCAAAGTGGCGAAGGTAGGCTGTTAGCGAATGAAGAAGGTGGGTTTAGATGATCGCCACGTCGGCTCCCGTTTCTCCGTTTTATTTTAGTCAATATGGGTTCAACATAGGTTTATTTATCATTTAATGGTTATATCATTTTCATTTCATTTAAAAAGGTTTATGTGTATTTATATTCACATAGCGAAAAACTTCGATAAATGGATTTGCATATTACCCCAAAATAATAACTACTAACTAAATAAAAAATAATTTCTGATGACAAAATCAACACAATGCTTATAAAAGTATACTGCTTTGCTAAGCCCGCTTAGCACGTATGATCATCTGCCACCACAAAAAAACACTATATAATTTATTTAAAGCTGGGATCTTATGCATAATAATTTATTGGGAAAACTAATTTAGAAGTCCTTGTAGTTTATTGATTTTGATTTAGGTCCTTGAGCTTTTTTTATCTTTTTATTTAGTCCTCAAACATTCCACTGTCAAATTTGTTAGCTCTTGCCGTTAAATAAGTACTAACTATGTTAAAAATTTCTGTTTAGAAAGCAGCGATGCAACTTCGAAACATCTCTCTCACCATTCAGCTTGACCTTGTTTGGAGCATCTTAATACTTGAGTCGTCCTTTGCCTAGGCGACACAATGAGAGTCACCCACAAGAGTTTTCTAACAACATCCCCACACTCATCAGTTCATGTGACTGTGACTCGGCTTTTCATTGCAACTCGACCCTACCCTTCCACTGTAATGGAACTTAATTAGACTATTAGAGTATGTAAGAGTGTTCCTTGATTTTCTAGGCAAAGCATTAAGAGGCCCACATGAGCTTTTAATATATATAATTGCTATTAGGAAATCAAAAGCAAGCTCAGGTCCGCCATTGAGTCCTCTAGTTATATGCACGTTAATGGTTTGATGAAAATTACAGATTTCACAATCATATAAAATAATATTATATATACATACGTATATATAGTGAAGATTTCGGTAAATATTAATTGATTCTTGAAGGTGTGGGAGATTGCAGTGGTAGTCGGATCATTAGCAGTAGCCTTGTTTTGCTAGTGAGCGGTTCAGTTTACTCTGTTTTTTTTTATTGTAAAAACAGAGAAGGCTCTCCTACTTTTGTCACTTTTTTTTATCTCACTCATCACAAACAGAGATGTTGGGGTTGGTTCCTTCTGTCTCATGGAACTTGGGATTTTTCTAAACTTGCTGAAGTTGTGAAAAGTGAGGTTATTCATCGGCTTATTTCCTTGCTACCACCCTTACCTAATGTTGGAGGTGATATTATGACCTGGAGTGCTACTTCCCATGGCAATTTTACAATCAAAAGTTGCTACTTTTTGATTGAAAAATGCCCATAGCATATGTATAACCAAGTTTATAAGACTATTTGGAAATGGAAGGGAGCTGAAAGAATTCGCGTCTTTATGTGGATCACTTTCAACAATAGACTTCCAACAAATGTTTGGCGAAGCAAATGGAGTCAAACTTCTCCTTTATGTACCTATTGCAACTCTGGATTGGAAGATGTACTTCACATTCTTCGTGATTGTATCTATGCAAAGCGTCTCTGGATGAAAATCTTAAATCCCAGCTATATTTCCCAATTCTTTAATGCTTCTTTGCATGACTGGATGGCTTTAAATTTGAAAAGAGAATTGGGAAATAGTTTGCCTGTTTGTTGGAACCAAATTTGGGGCGTGTCCATATGGAGGCTTTGGACCTAGAGGAATTGTTCTATTTTTAATGGTGATTTCCAAAGGCCAACAAATCCTGCGGATATGATTTTGAAATCTTGGAAATCCTTTGTAGAAGCTACTGATTTAGCTTCAGTTGGTAGCTTATCTGCTACTAATGAGGTAGCAACTTGGGAACCACCTCCGGCTGATTGGATTAAAATCAATGTTGATGGTGCTGTGTCTTCAACTAGACATGTAGCTGGATGTGGGGGTGTCTTTAGAAATCACAATGGTGAATGGATAACAGGTTTTACACATGGATTAGGAATATGTGATGCTTTAGAAGCTGAGGAATGGGCAATACTTAAAGGTCTCTCTATAGCTTGGGAGAGGGGATTGAAGAAAATAATTCTTGAATCTGACTCCAAAACATTAATTGACATGCTATTGAGCAATTCTATATCTGGCTCTTGTAGCTTGGTGTTTATGCAGATCAGGAACATGAAGACCCTTGATTGGGACTTGCAGTTGAGATACATCTCTAGAGACAAAAACTCTCTTGCTGATGCGTTATCAAAGGAAAGCCTCTCTTATTCAGCTATCTTAGATCGATGTCTGCAACATTTACGGACAATTATGGAACAAGATTTACTGGGATTTAATCCCCTTCTGTTTTAATTTTTAGTTGGGCTTTGCCCTCGTTGTTACCAAAAAAAAAAAAAAGTTCCACCATGAGCGGAGGGGTTGAGATGTAGTGGCATGAACAGAAGAGGGAGGAGATGTTCTAGAGGCGTGTCACTGCTTCCTAACAAAAACTTGTAATAGAGTTAGTACTTGTTTAACAGTAGGGACTAATGGATTTAACAATGGAAAGTGTAAGGACCCAATAAAAAAATAAAAACAGCTCAAGAATCTAATTCAAATCAATGAAAATGATAGGGACCTCCAAATTATTTTTTCCAAATTTATTTATATAAAACTTAAAGATCTATCCTAATTTTTCTTTTAATCATGGATGGGAAATGCATTGGAATTATAATTTTTTAAGTAATCATTCCTAGAATTTCTTAGAATTAGCATATTAAACATGTTCGTTTCACTTCTTATCTTTAATCTTTATCGAGTTTTTGAAATATTATATAATTATGTGTCTGAACATGATTAAAATAATATACTCCTCTGAACATATCAAACGCTATTCAGAAGACCAAAGCTTCGTAAAGCCATTACTTTCCGAGCAACATGCCTGCGATACATCCATGATTAAAAATATTTGTTAAGTTAGTTATTTATAATAATTAGGTATTATTTTTTCTAGAACATTCTTACTAATTATATGTATTAGTTAGAACTATCATGTTATGGAACATTTAACATATACAACTACTATAAAGACTACTTTAAAAAAAATGAATAAATATGAGAGACAAAATGAATTAGGATCTTATTTTTAAGACCAAATTAAAAGTTAAATTAATTCACATATTAAGGACTGGAGGTACTATAATTTATTTAAAGATTGGATCTTATACATATTAATTTATTTATATAAAACTTAAAGATCTACTATGCTAATTTTTGTTTTAATCATGGATGGAAAATGCATTGGAATTATAATTTTTTTTAAGTAATCGTTAGAGTTTCTTAAAACTAATAGTATATTAAACATGTTGGTTTCACTTCTTATCAATCTTTATCTAGTTTTTGAAATATTAGATAATTATGGGTCTGAACAGAATTTAAATAATATACTCCTCTGAATTTATCAAACGCTATTCCAAAGACAAAAAGCTTCGTCAAGCCATTACTTACCGAGCAACACGCCTCCGTTACATCCACCGAGAAATGACGACGCTCTTCTCTTCCTTTTCCGCCACCGCGAAAACGTTGATTTCCATGGCCACCCCTGTCGTCGCGATTGCGATGGTGGCTCGAAACCTCTTCGCCTGCGACATTATTCAAGATATTTTCTTCAGTAGTGTCCGAGGATTACTCAATCGCTTCTCTTCTCAAATCACCATGGTGATCACCGAGGCCGATGGCCTCGTGAATAACCAAATCTACGATGCCGTCCGTACGTATTTGGGCAGAAAAATCTCCCCCTCCACTCGCAGAATCAAAGTTACCAATCCTGATCCTGAACAGAGCTTCGAGATCATCATGGAACGCGACGAGATCATCTTCGTGGACGTCTTCAGTAGCGTCAAATTTAAATGGGTCTTTCAGGTTGAGTCGGAAAATTCCAACAATCCGAGGGACCTGAATTCGATGATGGTGCGATCATTGGAGCTGAGTTTCCACAAGAAATACAGAGAATTGGTATTAACGTCGTACCTTCCCTTCATTATAGGAGAAGCGGAATTTATGAAGCAAGAAGCGACGGCTCCGAGAATCTTTGCAGTGGATTTCCTTAGGTTAGATCTGCGTCTAAACGACGTATGGATGCCGGCAAAGATAGAGCATCCAGTGACATTTGAAACCCTGGCATTGGAGCCGGACATGAAGAAATTCGTTCAGGAGGATCTGGAGAGGTTTGTCAGAAGGAAAGAATATTACAGGAAGGTAGGGAAGCCATGGAAGAGAGGGTATTTGCTGTCAGGGCCCCCCGGAACAGGGAAATCAAGTTTGATTGCAGCCATGGCGAATTACTTGCATTTTGATATATACGATTTGGAGTTCACGAGATTTCTAACATCATGCGATCGTGAGCTCCAAAAGTTACTGATGAATATGGCGAAAAGATGCATTCTCGCTGTGGAGGACATTGACTGCACCATTGAATACCAGCATCGCATGGCTGCTTTATGCTTCCCAGAACCACCCCTCCAGGTTATTCAATACTACCTCCACAGGAGCTATTTCACTAATTTAAACGAGGGGATTAAGAAAGTCTCATTATTTGTAATAAATATATTTTTTTTCTTCTTAAATATTATTACTAATCATGTGTATTAACAAGAATATTATAACATATATAACTACTACAGAGACTACCTTAGAGAAAAAAATAGATAAATATGAGAGACAAAGTGTATTGAGGTTTTATATTTATGATCAAAATAAAAGTTAAACGAGATTTTATATTACGTACTAGAGGTAGTATTAAGTAACATATGTAATACCACCTCTGGTACTTAATATAAGAGTTAGTTTGACTTTTAATTTGGTCCAAAATATAAGATTACAATTTACTTTGTTTTTCATATTTACTCATTTTTTTTCAACATAGTCCTTATAATAATAGTAGTTCTAGCCAGTACACTTGATTAATAATTATATTTTAGAAAAAACAATACCTATTTATTACAAAATAACTAACTCAATTAATTTTCTTAATTTACTCAAATTAGTCAACTAACTCTTATATTAAGAGCTGAAAATAGTATAAGATCTAGTTGATTAATTTAAGAATATTAAGAAAGTTGAACAAATTACTTTAAAGCATTATATTTATTATTTTTCTTCAAATTAATGTGCTCCACTTGTAAGTTGATATATAATCTAACAATGCATATAAGTGTTTAAGAAAGATTATGTAACATTCTTATAATTAAGCAATTTTTTAGCTTTCTTAATTTCTTCATATTGTTAACTAAGTCTTATATTAAGGACTAAATGTCATTCTCTTAGAATTTGGGGTTTTAGACTTTAGTTGTCCTCTATCACTATCAGGAGTTCTTTTTTTATGCTCATTAATTTTTTCCTAGTTCCAAAATATTTTTTCTTTTTTTATTATTAGATTTTATATAAAAAAAATGAAATTTTATATCTCATGAATAAAAAAGTGATGCAATTTTCAATTTTTTTCTGATTTTTCAAAAAATAATTATATTTAAATTAAAAAGAAATTACAAACAATTTTAAAATATTCTTTAAATAAAATAATGAAATGATTGAAAACTGCACCATTTTTTACTTAAAAGACCAATTATTTTGTGTAAAATCTAATAATAAAAAGAAACAAGAAAAAATATTTGGGAATTAAAAAAAATTTAGACAACAAGAAGGATAGCAGACACTAAAATTATCTTGGTATTGTCAGTCAGACACGAATCTTTATTTCTACCCTTTTTCTTCAAATAATTTAATCGAACTCCCAGGCCAAAATTAATTGTATGAGACTACTTATACATATTACTGGCCAAAAAAACTAATTATATATAATGACACTTGCAAATGACTTGTTGATATGTTTTTGAATGTAGCTAAAGACAATGCCGATAGTGCCAATGCTATTGAACTTCCTTGATGGTGTGTGGTCAAGCTGCGGGGACGAGAGGATTATAGTCTTCACAACCAATCACAAAGAGAAGCTTGACCCAGCATTCTTGCGTCCGGGTCGTATGGACGTTCACATCCACATGTCATTTTGCACTCCATCCATGTTCAGGCAGCTTACTTTTAATTACCTTCAACTTCATCACCATCCTCTTTTTTCACAAATTGAAGAAGCCATTCTTGCCACTCATATCACTCCTGCTGAAGTGGCTGGGCAGCTCTTGAAGATAAAGAGTAATAATAGTAATAGTAATAACAGTAGTGATGACCATCACTTCTCTGTTATTCTTCAAGACCTTCGACAGTTTCTTGTACAAAAAAAGATGGAGAATGATAAAGAGATTGAGGCTAAAGAGAGGGAAACATAACTTACTCCTGTCTCATGATAAATGTGGATTTGATCTTCTGTTAGTTTCCTATTAGCACTGTGCAATTTTGGCTAGTTGGCATTTATCTACCGCAAATTTTTATATTAATTGTGGAAGTTGTATGCGAGAGGGTTATATGAAGCACATCTGAAGCATAGTTTAAGTGATATCTAAGCTAGATAACTAATTTGCAGGTGTTAGAAAAAAAAAAATAGGAGAATGGATCGAAAACATACCGGGTCGGATCTCGGGTCGGGTCGGTCGGATCTCCTTAGCTCACGCTTAAGCTAGACTATAAAAGTCTGAGCTTTTAAGTACACAGCAGAGCACCACTTTTGCAAGAAAGAAAATTAAGAGAGAGAGAGAGATAGTAGGAAAGCTCTACTACTGGAGTGATTTGAACTGATGGGGGGAAGCCTCTATTTATAGCTTTTGTCAGGGATATTTTGGGTAGCATAAAAATATCCACTGAGCCCATCAGATAAAATCTGAGATAAGATATAATATATCCTTATCTCATAATATCATGATATTTGAATTCAAATCCAGAATCAATCTTAATCAATTCTAAATATATATACTTAATATATATTTAATCTATACAATATAAATTAATTAATTTAATATAAATTAATTAGATTTATATCGTAACCGATTGGATATGATTCAGGATGTTTGACCAAGTCAAACATATCATGATATCGCTTGGATATTTGACTGATATATTCTCTTTATACCCGGTCAAATAATCCGGCCCATCAAGGGCGGATCCAAGCCCAAAATCTAACATCTCCCACTCGCACTTGATGGGCTGTCCATCGTGCGATAGCTAAATCTTTCATTGCTTCATACTAGGTGTCTGCCGTGACCGCGTGGGCATGACGTCATCGATTCGGGCGCCTGTGCACTAGGAATCCTTTATGCAGGACCAGCACACAAGAACACCCTTGGTATACCTGCAAATTGTATGCTTGTTGCCTCGAATGCCCTAGTTTTATCCATACACTTTACTTGTGGCATATCTAATCCCTCTCGAGTTATTTTGTTTACTCAGATTGCCTTTTTCATACGTATGGTATCCACACTTGCTTAGTTGTTCTGTTCAACCTGCAAGGGACATGTCACAGACACCAACGTAGATGTGTATTTCAGGATAAACCTTCCTTCTGACTATTCATCATTTAGATTTGGCATAGTCGCTTTCTCAGTCTTGACCCGTTAGATCGTATCATTCTTGACCATGGGGTTTAGGCTAGAGTAGCTGCCACTAAACCAAAACCTTGTGATGTTGTCTAAGTCTTAAGGGCATTATGAAAGGTTTATTTCCTTTCTGGGACTCACACCGTAATGGATCAGGGATCTTCCATCTACGTCCCTTGTTGCGGATTTGAGTGAGCTCATGCAGTATGAATTGCATGTTACGGTGCTCAATCCACTAAGTGGAGTATGTCGCTTTTGGTTTTAATAGCACCGTACAGACTTAAGTTCCAAATGTACTCCAACATTTGGACCAGGAGCTCTTTCATCACAACTATATATGACGTCTCACTAGTAAAGAGTTCCTTGTCTGGCTACAGGTCTCATGGATGACACATTATCCATGATTCGGCCCAAACTTTTTATGGGTCTCATCTCAGTCTAGCTGAGGTGACATTCGTGCAGTGATTCTTCTCTACCATCTCATGGTGATCATCTGCTGTCAAACCTTCTATATCCCATGAGAACATAGCGAGGCAGTTGCTCGTGTGAGTGAGCCAACCTTGTGACCTGTACGACATATTTGTATTGCATACCTTGTGCCTATGCATGTATAAATACACAAATATACAAGATAAAAATTTTCTTGAAGAAAAATGCATTGAATTACTAAGTAAGAGAAAAGGTTCAGTACAACATGCCTTGTGCCTGCGTATTTGAACAAAAAAAGGATCAAAAAGAAAAAGGAGTTCAATACATCATGCTCTATGCATGCCCAAGGCCTTTACATGCTTAACGAAAGGATCTCTAGCTATAGGCTTGGTTAGGGGATCTGCCAACATCTTATGAGTGGACAAGTATTGAACTGTCACTTGTTTCTTAGCGATCATATCCCTTACAAAGTGATACTTTATGTCTATATGCTTAGTACGATTGTGGTACTTAGGGTCCTTTGCATAGGCGATTGCTGCTTGACTATCGCAGTGAATCAGAGTTGGTCCCTCACTCCCACCATGGATTCCCAATCGTACTAAGAATCTTTTGAGCCACACAGCTTCTTGGACAGCTGCAGAACAGGCTACATATTCTGCTTCCATGGATGAAAGAGACACACACGTTTGTTTCTTGCTGCTCCAGGAGATTGCTCCATTATTCAGTAGGAAAGCATAGCCTGACGTCGAGTGTCGCTCGTCCAGGTCTCCTGCCCAATCAGCATCGGAATAACCTTCCGCACGAAGGCCATTTCCTTGATAGCATAGCTCATAGTCCATGGTTCCTTTTAGATATCTCATAATCCTCTTTACTGCTTCCCAGTGTTTGATTCCTGGATTGGATTGGAATCGACTCACAAGTCCTACTGCGAAGCATATGTCTGGCCTGGTACACAACATGGCGTACATTAGGCTGCCAACGGCACTTGAGTATGGGACTCTCTTCATGCGTTCTATATCGCATTGTTTTGTAGGGCGCATTTCCTCATTTAGGTTATGTCCCTTAACCACAGGGGTATCCATAGGCTTGCAGTCTCTCATATTGAAACGCTCAAGAATCTTTGCTATGTATGCCTTTTGTGACAATGACAGCAATTTTCTAGAACGATCTCTTCTTATCTTAACGCCTAAGATATATTCTGCTTCGCCCATGTCTTTCATCTCGAAGTTCAAGGATAACCACTCTTTGATCATCTTTATTAGTTTAAGATTGGTACCAGCCAGTAGTATGTCATCAACATAGAGGGATAGAATGACAAAGTTGTCTCCAAACCGCTTGATATAAACACAGTGATCTTCCTCGATCATTTCAAAGTCATAGGAGCTTATAGCTTTGTGGAACCTTAAGTACCACTGCCTAGATGATTGCTTGAGTCCATAAATGGATCTCAATAGTTTACAAACCTTTTGTTCGTTCCCTTTCTGTATGAAGCCCTCAGGCTGTTCCATATAGATTTCCTCATCTAGTTCTCCATTAAGAAGGCGGTTTTTACATCCATCTGATGTAACTCTAAGTCTAAACTTGCTACTAAAGCCAGTATCAGTCGTATCGAGTTGAAACGTACAACAGGTGAGAAGGTGTCTGCGTAATCCACTCCTTCCCGTTGTGTATACCCTTTGGCAACTAACCTTGCTTTGGGTTTGTCAATTGATCCATCAGCCTTACGTTTGTACTTGAGAACCCACTTGCTCCCAATTGCCTTTCGGCCAGGTGGTAGATCAATTAATTCCCATACTTGGTTGGATTCCATGGAATCCATTTCCTCTTGTAAGGCCTTCTGCCATTTTTCCTTAGCAGGTCCTGTTAGTGCTTCTTTAACACTTACGGGGTCTTCTTCATCGTGCTCTGGACTAACGATGAAGGTTGCTCCTTCAATTGAGAAGCGTCTCTTAGGGGTTTTGTCCCTGTTACTTCTCCTAAGTGGGGTAGTTGCAGGACTTACTTCCTGTGACTGGGTTAAACCTTGTTGTGAAAATGGTTCAACCCTCCCACTCGGATCAGTAGACTGAGGAACACTTTGTTGTACCTCATTGCCATCATCCTCATAAAGACGGCTTGTTCGATCAATACTCCCTCTGCTAGGATATTCGGTTTCTATGAACGTTGCGTCCCTTGACTCTATCTCAGTCACTGAGCCGTCATCATTTTCACCAATGAAGACATACCCCTTAGAGTTCTCAGAGTATCTTATGAAGATACACTTTTTGCCCCTTGGTTCTAACTTGTCATATTTATGGGAAGAATCACGAATATAGGCCGCTGACCCCCATGGTCTTAGGATGCTTAGATCCGGTTTGCGGTTTGTCCATGATTCATAAGGGGTTGTTGTGACTGATTTAGAAGGCACTCGGTTAAGTATGAATGTGGCGGTTAGAAGAGCATCTCCCCAATATGAGGTTGGAAGCTCAGCTTGTGCCATCATTGATCTAACCATATCGAGGAGAGTTCTATTTCTCCTTTCAGCAACTCCGTTCTGTTGAGGAGTGCCAGGGATTGTTAGTTGCCTAACAATGCCCCTTTCTTCACAGAGCTCCTTGAACTGATCAGAGAGGTATTCTCGGCCTCGGTCAGTTCTTAAGGCTTTGATTCTTGAACCTAGCTGATTTTCCACTAGATTGAGATATTTTCTAAAGCACTCTAATGCCTCAGATTTGTGGGAAATCAGGTAAGTATAGCCATATCGGGAAGAATCATCGATGAAGGTAATAAAATACCATGCTCCGTGACGTGCCCTAACACTCATTGGTCCGCAAATATCAGAGTGTACCAATTCAAGAGGTTGGTTAGCCCTGGTTGCCTTTCCGAAAGGCTTCCTTGTACTCTTGCCAGCAAGGCAATGTTCACACAGAGACATTTCCTTTTTGGACACGTTTCCTAGCAAACCCTCTTTTGCTAGTTTGGTCATGCGTTCTTGACCAATATGTCCTAATCTAGCGTGCCATATATCGTAATTGACATCGGAAGAAAGCGCATAGCAAGAACTAGAAAAATTATCATTGAAATTTTCTAAAACAAAGAAACCATCTGAAACATAACCAGAAACTGAAAAGTTGGTCCCATACGAAATGTCTACTGTGAAATCATGAAAAAAGACATTAAAACGAAATTTAACTAAGGAAATGACAGACACAAGATTTCGTCGGATTTCCGGAGCGTAGAGGACATTTTGCAGGACTAGGGTCCTTCCTCCATGCAGGGTCAGCTCACAAGTACCGATCCCTTTGACTTCTACTCTCGCGTTATTCCCAACATAAAGCCATCTGCTTCTTGCTGGTAACCGACGAAATTCTGTGAAGTTCCCACGATCCTTG